ACTGGCTGTGCCTCCTTCGAGACCTTTAATATGAGGAAAAGGATGAGCTTTGCAAAGAGCATGTAGAGTACACTCAACAAGCATATTAAGTGACATCTACGAATATACCTACTCTGACCTTTTTTAGGCAGAATGACTGTGCGCGATGTCCTTCACTGGTTTGACTTTTCTTCTTGCTAGACATATGACGGCGTATGTCTTGCGAAAAGTACATACAGGTTGAGGTCACCAGCTTAAGGGAATCAGAAGTAACATGATCAGATCGTGGAGCTGTGCCTCTCCTCATGCTTTCACTTTCCATCTCAGAGGTTATAATATTGGGTAGTTTCCCACATGTGAGGATTTCGAGGTCCGAAAAAGGGGTTATGAAGGGAAGAAGATTGATATAGAGCTCTTTTGCTGCCAAATCCATACCGTGACTGGATTCAGTAATGTTCAGTAATGATCACATTTCTATTTATTAGGGTGATATCGGAACATAATAGCTGTAGAGATCCCGACGGTATTTCCTCGGACTAAATCGTCTTATTGCTGCTTACAGTAACTTTTTCTGCTCGCATCGATGTAGATCCCCAAAAATCTACAGCTCGCACTGATTATCAGCCAGTTAGGTGTGTTGAAAAAAGTATCAAGTCTTAGTTTCCTTCTCATTTCAAGCAACTCCTTAGCAGCTGTGGAGATGCGATTAGAATTTTTTGTTTTAGGAACTGTAGGCAGTTCACCGTTCTCGGAAAAAGAATTGTCATCGATGAGACAAGCGGCGAACATAAGTTTACAAGACGTCTCCGTTTTCGCTGCGCTCTCCCATCCCGAGTTTTCATATCCTGTTTTCGTTTTCACTGGCCTTTCGTTAACAATGAGTTTTTCAACTTGTCGTAGAATGAGACTCTTTCGCTCTCAGCATCTTTGAAAGTTGGTAAGTAATAGCTAATGATACAAATTTTCTGGCACGAAAGTTGGAGACGAAGTCCTGCCGGTCGCTGTGATAGGGCGGAGTATGAAATGACTAGATGGCAGTCGTGTGGATGAACGAAATGTCGGCGTCTCCGACATCTCGTGGAGGGAATTTCGCTTCAAGAATGGCGAGAGTTCCGTTTTATAATTGTCTTATGTCGGTTTTCCTGCTTGTCGCCTCCTGCAGGGCCATCACGTGAAATTTTATGTCATCATAGGTGTCATAATGTGCGTAAAGATTGATGTCTGAGAAAGCTGTTTTGGCGTTACCAGTGCAAAGCAGGAAGTAGTCCGCATAAGCAGTCGTGGGCGCGTTTGTTTCACCTCTTACCAATGACGCTCCGTTGAACTTGAAATCTAATCGCCTCTCACCGATCGACCCACAGCTCGACGTGGTAGATGGGAGTGCCCCTAGCGTCCAGGATACTGAGGAAAAAACTTCTTCGTTGTAGTAGTTATTTTTTCAAGAGTTCTGAGGTCAGCCTAGCCAAAGCCTCTCACGGATCGTCACCACACCAGGCAGTCGGCGGCCCTTGTGTATAGCAGGGCCTTACCACCTTGAGATTAGCAGCTAGCAGGGCGGTGGTCATTACTGGCACGTTTCACTCCTAGAAGAACGTTGAACTCTTTCTCAGCTTGGTGGCTTTGCTGGAGGTTGGATCCCACGCTGTGCTCCGTAACAGACACCCAATAAACCTTTCCAGCCACGATGAGGTGGCACCATTAGGAAAGAAAAAATAACAAGAAATACAATCTTAACATTCTTAGTTTTGCTGCTATAACGCAATAAGAAGAGTTTTTTTTAGTATTTAAGCATATTGTTGATAAAGATTTGAGCTTGCGAATATTTACTCAAGTCTAAGAAGAAAAAACGTTTTTCAGGGGTAGAAAGTAGTTAAAAATATGTGCGTTTACAAGTACACACCTTCAAACTGGTTAAATGACTTCGGTTTTATTCTTTCTCGAATCTCGCAGTAGCGGTCTCAAAACGTTGAGAGATTTTCCTCACAAGTACATATCACTTCCAGTGGTTTGAGAACAGTAACCGATCTTAGTCTAATGTGATACTAACTCCCCGGCCACGTGCGTTGGAAGTTTGATGTTTGGGAGTCAAAGATGATTTGGGAGTAGCGAACGGAATTTTTTGATTTTTTAGGGCTGGTTGTTCTCAACCTACTTTCAGTAGCTTCTGTGCCCATACCGGTGTATATTCTCCTAAAAAATCTCATAATCTAGTTTTTATTGTCCGTCATGCTCTGTGCGCTAAATGAGAATCAAGCTTCAGTTTGCTTTTCTCTACAAGCAACTTTTTAGTAGTGTAGATGCAGCTGAGTCCGGCGCTTGTCTCGTTCTCTGACATCTAGCCTGTTGACCTCGGCTGAATCACTATTTATCTATTATCCGTAGAATCGAATAAATTTATTGAAAGCGTCTTTGACATTTACGGCATTTCTAGTTCTTATATGGTGATAAGAAGATGATCTCTGTTATCTGGAATAAATCAAATTTTCGGACGCGAAAGTGATGGCAAGATCTAGAGAGGATAAGGGTACCACTGACATGTTAAAGAGGCATCAATTTCTGCTCGTGAGAATGTGATCGGCTCCACTCTGTGTCAGCGTTTTCATTTTTGTCGAAAAACGAATATCGATGGATATGGTGTGTAGCGAGCAAAGGTCAGCCCAATGAATTCCACTCTTTCCAAAAAATTTTTATTCTGAGCAAACTTAACCTCTCTTAGTCTTGAATTGAAGTCTCTAATAGAGACTATAAAGGATTACTTGATCGTGGATTGATTACCAGCAAGCTGTAAAAAGCGCTCAATTTGTGCTTGTCATTTGCACAAGTTGGTAAGTAGCAGCTGATTATAGTGCCCTTTGTTGACGACGTGGTTAGAAGTAATGGAGATTTTGAATGTTTTTCACTCAAAATTCATTAAAAATCTTCGTATTTAGCTGTTCAAAGCAAACAGGATTATATTAAATGACTTAAAGCAAATTGCTTTACTGAGTGCAGGAATTACTATGAACCTCGAACAAAACAAGCTGCAGGTGCGTTTCTTCATATATGGTGGATCAAGGCGGTTTCTCACCGCTGTCGTTGGACAGTGTCAATTTTCCAAAGTTGTTATCTACTGTGCTTCAACCATCATTTTGATTTTTTGTGATATTTTTTCTCTTAGTTATCTAAGGCCGCGTATGATCTCTAGAATAGTGCCAACTACTTGTATATAAGAGTTAAATGGATTATGTTAAGCATATGCGTTGTCATTTGGTTTAGAAATGAAGAAACATGATAATCTGAAAACACTGATTGACATATCTATTTTGTCAGCTATATGAACAATTTTCAAAGCCTTTATGGAAGAACAAAGAACAAATCCACTTACTACTATGAACTATGCTTTACAAGCTGTTGATACAAGTCTGCTATTCCATTGCCAATGATCGGACAGCTGTATTAGGAGCCAGTGAGCTGCCTATTATCTTTTGTTAGCTGGCAGTGCTGCCAAATGCATACTGGTCGCCTAGAATGGGTTAAGGAATAAAAAAACTTGCGAGACCTTTTAAATTCATTACTGCTGATGTTTTTGAATTTTATAGCGGCATATTTCAATTCTTAGGTCGTTCCAAAAGTTTAGGCACAGAAGTAATAAAAATTTGTTAATCAGAAGTGACTATAATCGAATGATTTGGGCACCTTTCAACTGCCTATTTCCTTATGAACGTTTGATTACAATTTGCCTATATCTACTTTAGGATGGAGTGTCTTGAGAACAAATTCACTTACTACTCCTGAACGAATGACGAGTGGGGAAAACGCCAATGAAGCGGTGCGCAAGATTAGTAGAACTTCCTGTGGATAGCCCAGCGCAGCTGATGCTCCAGACTGCTCTCGCCTGCTTTGATCTTCTCAAATTACTTTCTAATCATCTTTCTGCAACCGTATCATCGTCTCAAGCTCCACTAATCTTGCGCTCCACTTTACTTTTTTTTTTCTACGCTCCATTCGTGCATGAGTAGCAAGCGAAATGTTCCCAAGACAGCTTAATCTCAAAGAAAGTAAGGGCAAGTTGTATAACAAACTGTTTGCAAGAAAATTCGTAACTGAACGACTCCAACATCATGCAGTTATATCCCGGTTAGCAAACTTTGTTTATTACTCTAGTGCTAAAATTATGGAACAACCCAATATCATCTTGATAAATAGGTGGGAAGTCATATCAATTTGATAGAATCTGTTTCAATGAGAACTTCCCTGTGGAAATTGACATTCCGCATGTAAAAACACTTGTCCTCAGTCAAGATGAGGTGGTGAATTTTGAAGTACATTTGCTTTGGAGTTTGACCCTTTGTCGATGGCGGCCAAGCTCGATTAGTGAGAAGCTCGGACGGCTACGATAGCACTGGTTGGAGAGCTTCGATGGCGCTGTAGTGGTTTGCTAATGGAATCTTTTGTCGCCACTAAGAAAGGTCTCGTCGCAAGTATGTAAGAAAACATGATAGAGACTACAATAGAAAATAAAAAAAAATAATGAGTTTTATGTCAAGAATAGTACTGTACAATATGCGTGATGCCTCCTCAGAAAAGATCTAACAGTTTTCCGTTTGGTGGTACCTTTCGGGATCTGGACCTCTATAGCATTAAACGCAAACTTTTTCCTCTTGTTCTATGAGTGCTAGCTCTTTGTGAATTAGCTTATACTTCACTATGGACACTATTCATGTTCAAAACCTTTACCAGATCATGCATATAAATTCAGTATGCAATCTTCATTTCGTTACTGCAACGTACCGTGAAAATCTCTGTACAGATCATTTATGGTATTGCATTCAGATTTTCTTGAGTTATAAATGACAACAAAATGATAAATAAAATGAGTAGAAATGTTCAATAACAACTGGAAATGCCTTCATTTTCTCAACGAACTAGATTCTGAAGAAAATGCATGTTCAGACAACACTGGCAGCGATCTACTCAAATTTCCGTTGCAAAAGTGTTTTCAGTGATATACCCAAAGACGAAGAGTGATATGCAAAAGCATTTGCGTCAGCTGGGATTTGAACCCACATTTCAATCTATTCAAGGGCACGTGCTCAACCGTTGCACTACCGACGCTCGTTATCATATCGCTTAGTAAACATAATGTCTCTTCTGTTCTTCCAAGTAAGTATGTAATGAAGGCGCTAGCAAACGACTGATGTTGAATTGATTATATTCGGTTTTACAACCTTCCATCATTTTTTTCTCAAACTAACGGTTTCAGATGTGAGGAAAGCGCGTCTGTCTCAATATCAGTGCTCAGTTTATCGCTAGCAAACATTTTTGGATATTTTTAGCGCAAATCCCGTAAACTTCATAGATGACAACTCTCTCAACCACGCCGTTATATATTCACATGGAGAACATGGCAGTGTCTGCGATTATAGTCACGGTGAGCTTCAAGCCGTTTTTATAAAGCTTACAAGCGCAGCTGTCCTAATGGGAAAAAACTATTCAAGTCAACTGCTAGCTTGAAACGTCTCGCATATTGTCGTCATATAGAAGAAATACGGTGCCTCCCTCTTCAGGGCAAGCCGATGCCTTTATTGCATCTGCCGGTATTATTGCACTAGGAACTCGGTTTATAGTAAATGAAATAAATATGTTTTGTTTAATTGAACAACAGAACTCGAGTTGAAATGTAATAATAATGAAGCAAGATAAATAACGAGGCTGTCTCATTTGAGTATTCTGACAAAGAGTGGAATAATATAGATTTCAGATAGGAGCAATTGGTTTCTTAACAAACGGAACTGCTATGTTAGCCGTGCGGTACAACCCGATCCTACGGAGCTCGTTCGGTCTGCTGTGTTGCTCTCTCAGCATCGCCAATATGGGCCTTCTATTCGTCAACGTCTTCTGGGTCGTACCAATCACGTTGCTGTAAATGTTAATAGTCTTTTCAGCAATAGAAAATCTGAGATAACATCCTATAACCTTACAAAATAATTAAATGCGTAGGGGACGTTCCTACAATAGTGGCATGACAAGCTATAGAATGTTGAAATCACAACTCATTGTTCTAATGCAGTTCGCATTTCCTCTACGAATGTGCTTTAGTGTTTATGCAAGCACTGAAATACTCTGAGGTGCTTGGGAAGATATTAAATTCTTTTTCGGGTTTTTCAGTCGTTGGTAGTTGACACCTACAAGGTTTTCAATTACATTTCATAGCTCTGAAGCCCATTTTTTTCAGCAATGTGTAAAAAGTCATGCTATACAGTAGTAAATTCTTTCTTCCATAGACTTATTTAAGAATTACTTAAAAACGAGTCTTAAGCTTTTTCTATTAAAACGTTATAAAACCGAGAGAAAAGATAGTAAGCACAGGGGAACTTTCAATTGAGTTCGTCTTAATCATCCAACATAAACTCTTTTCTTGTTATGATTTTTGCAGCTGATTATTTGCATTTATGGTTTTCCAAAAAAAGAATGCACATTACATTGCATAACAAAAGGGAATGATATTTCTGAAATATTATACCTTTCTTTCGAGTGTTTTCCAAAGACAACGCTCAAATTTCGAGACGTTTCAAGGCTAAAGAAGAAGAACCTGCCCCACTGATGAAACTGTTAAGACCGAAACACGAGTATCGAGCTGGCAAGTGCCCGTAACAGACCACATGCCATGTTGACTCAAATAATAATTATCAGATATATTGAAGAGGAATAAAATGTGAATTAATGCTCAAAATCATTAAGTTGTACTGGGATTATCAATACTAAAACAAAATTCCTTGTGCTTTTCAGCAAGAGCACATTGTCGACAGAAGTGATAGGCAAGCTGTTCAACACGATAATCATCATGCTGTGGAATGTATGCATGTACACTCATCTCGCCATTGCTTTGAACAGAGTCATCGTCATTGCATTTCCTCCAGAAGTTTCACGCTTGCTAACCGTGAAAAACACCGTCTTAATGGCTTTGATTTGCTGGGCGATGGGTTTCATCCATATAGTGCCATATTTTTGGAGTGAGTTTTGTCATTCTGCAACTGATAAGATTGATTGTTGGCGATTTTACGCAGATAAGTACACAGTATGATGAGAAATATCTGTACTGAGCTCCTTTGCCATTTACTTATTAGAAGAAAAGTTAAAAGATAAAGTGACCCCTTTCGAGAAGTAGATTGGAAATGGGTTAGGAGGTGAACAACTAACCCTGCGCGATTACACAGAAGAACTTTTTGACCACTAACGAATTTTCCCAAAGCTTTATTCAGCAAACTGTTTCATTCAAAGCATACTTGATATTACACCAAGTGATTGGATGCTGTCCACAAAAATCAATTGATCGCATGCCGTCAAGTTTTATGATGAACTGCGTAATTCACAACCAATTTCCTCTCGTTGTGAATTAGGCGTGTATCAATGTCAAACATGCTGTGGTCTGGAGTATATGCGAATTCTCAAAAACTCATCTCTATTCCAAATGTTGGTTTTCTTCCAGCGGAAAGTTGCTTCGTAATCCTTGATACGGCGACGTCGGGGTGGATATTCTCCGATACAACATGCGGTTATATAATTTCCGTCTTCACCGACTTCTACACCACTTTAGCCGCCCAAGTACTAATTTTTTTACTCGACTGCACCACATTGATCTGTCTGAGAGTTAAGCATAAGGTCAGTAAAAAAAGAAGTTTAATATGATCGCTGTAATGCGTGTTATCCTGTGATTAGTCGATTAGCTGCAACTAGTGCAGAAATGATCTTCAAATATCTCAATCTTACAAAGAAGCCATTCATTGAGTCGTTCTAGTGGCCCTTTGAGTATCAAATTTTTCTTTTGACGTTTTCATGAAGTATGCTCATTTATCGGGTGAGATATCTGCTCTCCGTTTGACATCCTAGGAAATATTTTCAGTAACGGTTTTTATTCAACGGTTTTTGAATGATTATGCATGATTTTCGGCATTTTCACGTGAACAAAGGGATTTTGATTTACCGTCGTTGACATGGGCTGGAACTTCGCACATTTTTTTCAAATCACGAGCTATGGAGTACTTGTAACATCAACATTTGGAGAGCTCCTTCTGTAGCATTGAGTGATCCATCATTTTTCCTTCATTGCACGAAAGCCTGCATGTACATGTGTACATGTAGGTTTATATTGTTTGGTTACGCTCAATCTGATATCCTGTTAGTTTGTCTACAATGGCTTGACCGAGGTTCTATAGACGACGAACAGAACAACAAGCAGATTAGGTGATAGCTACCGATGTCGTGAAGCTTCTGTTTTGAACAGTAACACTATTTTCTTGGCCATCTATTGGAAAGTAATTTTGAATATTTACAGATAGCGTGTGGACAACCGATCCATTATATTGTTGACGACTGGTGGGAGTATTCTCAGGTGTTTTGGTCTCATTTTCGGATGAGATGCTCTTCAATTCTTTACCGACAAGATAACATTTCGGGTATCGGGGACAAGAACTGATAAACAAGATATCCATCTTTCTTTCGTCATATGAGGAAAAGAACACGTGGACGCCGAAAGGATTTGAGTAGTAACCCTCCATGTTCCTACCCATCGCCTTTATAGAAGCTTTAACTTTTTTTCCTGGGCATTGTAGAGCGATGACTTTCATCTCGTGATTGAGAGAGCTTTGGTCAGCGTTGCCAATGCTATCTCTAGCCTCTGCAGTTCAATATAATAGTGCTGCTGCTATTTTCCTGACTCTATTGAATAAATTTCACCACTTTGCAGGCTTGAGCGTAGATGGTCGACTTCTTGTTCTTCACTCAACTTCGTGCATACATATTAGCTTCAGTGTATTTGAGGACAGATATTTCTTGGTGACTTGCAAAACCACGATCTAGATTGGGCTAAAGGTGATGATTGATTAGTAGTCCTCGTGGATGATGTCAATAACGACATATCACTGAAGTCGATTCACCAGAATTAGGACGGCGTGCCTTTACTGCGGGCCTCAGCATGTATCCTATTCTTTTTCTTTGATTCGGAATCACTGCCCATGGCTGATTTGATTCGAGTATGGCGGCTGTTGCAAGGCTCACACTATAGTCTGCAATATATATATATATATATATATATATATATATATATATATATATATATGAGCGCATGCGGCGCAGTGGTTAGAGGTGCCCTGCGTCGCACACGAGGTCAATGGTTCGATCTCGCGCTCATGGCTCACCAAGCCATCCAACCCTCCGGGGTTGGTAAATTGGTACCAGACAGGTCTCAGACTTGTCTGGGAGGATAAGCAGCACTGAATCGGTTCAGCGGGAGGCCACCGCGAGTCATTGTAAAGGCCAGATATGCATTCCATCACCTTAAAACGAATTCAAAAATTGAAGTCGAATGCATGGCGCATCCGTCAGGGATTGTCAACGCCGAGAGCTTTATCCTTTATATATATATATATATATATATATATATATATATATATATATATGCCCGTTTTTTAAATAGATTCTTGAGGCCCTGCCCAGAACATTTATATTTTGATAGCAATCTATGTATTTCATGAGGCCTGTTATGGCATTTATATATATGACCACAGAAACTACGCACCAAATTAACGTCGCAGAAACAAGACACACACCGCTCCGATTGGCCTACGCTTTATTGAAGTAGAAGTTTACTTAGACTGCGTTCTCTGCTTGACAAGCTTCCATTATAAGTATAGCATCATACCTACTTACTTTGATACTTCGACGGTCCATCTTCAGTGGTAGTGCCGGCGCTTAGTTTTCTTTTCGCTCAATTGTCGTCCATGATGGTGGTCTGCTTCAAGCATAGTGACATGCTCCAGGCCCATTATGTGATTCCATATCATGGCCATCTGTGGATGCAATTAGCTAACGTTAGCCAGAATCGGTTCCGCCCATCGTTTATGTTGTTCTCAAACGGCGCTAGCTCTTTTCTTGTAGTTCACTCCACTGTTCTTCTCGTACATCTCTCATCTGTTTTTCTTATTGTGTGACCTGCCATATTACACCATAGCAGTGTGCTATCTACACAGCTCTGTGAGGCTTTCGGGCATGTACGAAGTATGAAACTTACCTACCTCTGTAGGTATATTCTCTGCCTACGCCTATACCATCAGATG